GGGCAGGACAGAGGCCCTTTTACTTAGTAGGTGGGGCCTTCACAGCATAAATAAGGCCTGAGGATCTGAAGTGAGAATCTGAGTAGTCAAAACCTTGGTCAATAAGGACACACACGTGACGTGTTGGTGAAAACCTGGAAGCTCTAGTGTGGGTGCCGCCCTCTTTTGCCAAAATCACACTCACCAATTGTGGACACCAGAAATAGGAAAGTTAGATTCACGTGGAGTATATTTACAAAAAAAAAAATTCCAAAATGCACTGGACAGGAATTTTTGAGATACAATAAGAGAACTTAACAAGTTATGATGATCAAAACAAAATGATAGCTAGTAGCCTGCCTCGTATCTAGTATTTCCAGAAATGTGTTAGGGATGCCATACATGACCTCACACCACACTTTACAGGAGTGTTATCCCATTTATTTCATCCCCTAGAGTGGGCGGGATGGCAGGACAATGCCCTGGCCGGGCAGGTCAAGAGGAATCTTATCTAGAATGTCTGCATTTTTCACAAGCATGTTGAAATGAAAAAACTCATCAGATTTACGTACAATGAATTGATATTATCATTTAGTATACTTGTAAAGACATGTAAGGAATTGAAGGAGATTTAAATTTGGGAAGCAAAACGCCCCCATGATTGTCACTTGCTGTCTGGCCTCAGCTCCTCTTTGCTGATTGCATCGACCTTTGCTTTCCCGTTTGTGATGGCCAATATTTGAAAATTTCACACCAAAATATTTCATGATAAAAATTGGTTCCAACTGGATATCAGACATTTAAGTCATTATCAAACAGTTCGCCTTGCGAGGAGGCTCTTCAGGATGACCTTGCTCAGGTGAGATCCACGCAGGCACAAAGTAAATATGGAGGCTGCTAGTAAAGGTTAGAAAATGGCAACATCTGGATATTTGAAATCTGGGATGACAACTTGATACTGTTCTTTTAAGCGATTGGTATTTTTAACTTTTCTCTGATAAATTAATTTCTTAATATCAATTCTTGATACTGTTATAGTTCACTGGTGGGATTTAATGAGAATTTAATATGTGTATTAAGAGCCTGAATCAGAGCATTATACACATTTATGAGACTATTGTTTGCCAACTTTGTAAAATATTATTAAAATATTTAAGTAATAAACATTAAATGTCTCAAGGTTCTATGAATTTAAAAATGTAAGCACAATGAAAATTGTTGTGGGGCCTCCCTGGTGGTGCAGTGGTTGAGCACTGGGTTGCGAAGCTGCCTGCAGCCTCTGCAGCACCGGTTCAATCCCCGGCCGCCGGGCGAGGGTCCCACATGGCGCGCAGACCTCTCCTGCAGCCCACTGCTCCCTTCAGCAGTGTACTTCGTCACTCTGCCTGTTCTACTCTCCGCTCTGGTGAATTCTCTGACCCTCCCGCGCTTCTGACTGTACCCAATGCTTGTATAAATAAATTAATCTTAAAAAAAAAAAGTAAATTGTTGTGGACAACAAGGAATAAACATTGAGAACTCTAAAGATTCCACTGAAAAAACAAATTAAATTAAATAAGCCACTTCAGTATACTTCAAAAGTACAAAATCAACACTTGAACATCAATTGCCTTCTTATGTGCAAAAAATGAATCAGAAGAGAAGAATTTGAGAAGGCAATCTTACATATAATCACAAAATTACCTGGGAGTAACCCTAAAAGAGATAGCGAAGATACCCAGAAAATTGTAAGACATTCTTAAAATAAATAGGAAACACACACAAAAGAAAATGGAAAGATATGCCCTCCTCATGGACAGGAAGAATCAGGATTACAAAATATCCATCGGACTCAAAGGAATTTACAGATTTATGCAATCCAAATGAAAATTTTAATGGCATTCTCAGACATATGAAACAAACATTACAGAAAAGCATATGGAACTACAAAAGACCACAAACAGCCAAAAAAGTCTTGATGAAAATGAATAAGAAAGGAGGAAACACACTTTCAGACTTAACACTGTATAATAAAGCTCTAATAGTTAAAACAGCATGGTTCTGGGACAAAAACAGGCCAGCCACTGCAATATAATGAGGGCCCAGGAACCCACCCTCATCAGGATGGACAGTGACTCTACAACAGAGGAGCCAGAGCAGGCACTGGAGCAGGGAAAGTGGGGAAATGGTGCTGGGAAAAGCAGACAGACACACGCAGCAGAGTGAAGCAGGTCCTGCCCCACACCCTACAGAAGAATAGACTTAAACAGATAAACACTTGTTTCCATGTGTGATGTCACCATTGTCATGCAGCAAACCTAAGTATATGACACCATGAGCAGAAACCTACCATTTCCTACAAGATTAGAAGCAAATTATCCCAACAAAAGGACAATTCTAATGTAAGTGCAGTGACAGGTGCTGTGGTGGAAAAGAACTGCAGGATACACAATTTCAGAGATGAGTAAAGTTTCTCTTCCTGAAGGGCTGGTGACCCCCCCATGGTCACTCACTTCTGCTGGACATTCATTGTCTTTCTGCCCCACTCCCCCTCCCTTGGCTCCCTCCTGCCTCTCTCCATTTCAGTTCCCTCCCGTCTCAGGCCTTTCCACATCTGCCATCTCCAGGGCCTCTCTGTGAAGGGGACACGGTGGGTGACGGGCGACTGTCCAGCTGTCTAGACAGGGACTCAGAGCACTGTTATGACTGATGGTGCTGACCCCAGGGGACATGACAGTTGGGGAATGGAACCTGGAAATGAGGATTTATCTATTCACTTCCATGGAGGCGTGAGCCAGACACAAAATCACATCTACACACCGAGTGTGATAATTACTCCCTGAGAAGCACTGCAGGACGCTCCAATTAACACAGTCAAGTAAATACACAGTTTCCCTCTGGAGGAAGGTCCCTGAGGGCTGGAATCTGGACAGTGTCCAACACATGGACACCAGCTCCAGAGCTCAAATAGCCCAGCCCTGAGGCCCTGCTCTGTCCATGAGGCGGCAGCAAGACGGGGTGGAACATCCTGTGAGTGCTCAGAGGCGTCCCCACAAGCCCCGACCATGGAGTGAGAGGCCGGGACGCCCTCTGTCCATGTCATAGGGACAACCTCAGGATAGAGACTCAACACGGCAGCAAGAACTTCCCCCCCCGCTAGACTGCAGGTATTCTGTTCTTAAACAGTTTTCAGAATGGAAATCATTCAGACTTGACTGTTTTTAGATTTCAAGCTTCATTTTAGATCTGAGAAGGCACAGTAAATAAAATATTTGTTTTATAAATCATGAAAACTATTAAATTCTGAAAGTGCACAAGTTTCTCAGTGTCCCACTGCCTTATCATGCTGGATGAGTCTCAATGAGAGGAAATATACTCTCCTTTAATTTAAAGAGTTCAAAGGATTGAACAGAACATTGTAATGCATCAGATATGTGACGATTAATGCTTCATAACTGGCATTTGAGCATTCAGCACGCTGAGTTGTTTTGGGCACTATATAAAAGCACAACAATTAATGGAATTACAATGTGATGAAAAAATTCCAGGGGAAAGTTAATATAATATTTATTGTCAAAAATCAGAATGTTATGCCTTTTGCCTACACGTTATGACAGACCTAAGTGTCAAATATAAACTATGTCCACACAACATTGTTCACCGTTTCAGGCTTTGGCACTAGAGAGAAGAAGGGTGTGGACTCCTGTCTCTTCACAGACATGGACTTGGGGTTTTTCCCAACTCCACCACTCTGGGGTCGTGTCAATACTGCACAGGAACATAATATGTCAGAGCTTTTGTCATCATGACAGAGATGTTTCATATCAGTCACAAGGTGTCTGCATCTTGGACCACCTCATATTCTGATTTATTTTCCTGTTTTTGTAAAATTATTAGGAAGATGCCACCAATGTGTTGCACTTTTTTTATGTTACTATGTGACCCAGCCTCCCCAGGGCCTGCCCCTCCGTCACCCCACAGAGGGGCGAGAGGGTAAGATTGGGGGGAGGAGAGCGGGCAGGGCTGCCCCGTGGCCAGACGTCCCCACTCACTCACAGGCCTGGGGTGAGGAACAAACCTGCACCTGGGGACCTGGGTCCCTGGGACCGGCAGGGACAGCCACACGCACAGACCGTCCGGCTCAGCCCTGGAGCGGCCTCCTCCCTGCACAGATGTGCATGAGTCTGAGGAGGACAGAGGGGCCTGGAGGGACCCGGGGGTGGGCGAGCCCATCCTGCAGGAGGGACGTGTGGGTGTGACCCAGGAAGAGACTCTGCGGGAAACGTGGTCTCTGAATCCTCAGATATGGGGAGTCAGGTGCAGGGAGATGAGGAGACGAGGGGACAGACCAGGAATCAGCAGTGAGGCCACAGGGGCAGGAATCTGACAGAGGAGGCATCAGGACACGCCGCATGGGGACGCTGAGCCCAGATCATTCAGTTCTAGGACAGTGTTGGGTCCTGGGGAACAGGAAAACAGGGACCCACACACCCCATCTCCCTGCACAGCTGTCACTGTGGGGCCTCCCCAGACCAGGGCTGTGCTGGAGGAGCAGGGACGGGCTCTCTAGGGTCGGGAGGGGCTGGCATGGTCACGTGTCCTCTGGGACTGTTCCTAGACAACCTCTGGAAGGTGTGCTGGGCTGAGACACTGGGGCCTGGGCAGGAGGCGGGAGCAGCGGGGCTGGGGTTGTAAGGAGGGGTGATTGTCAGCTGAGTTTGTTGACAGATATGAGATTTTCAATTTTTCAAATTTTGTAGGGGAGAGTTGAAATGTTTCAGTTTTCACCCATTTTTAGGACTTATTTAGAAAATGTAGTAATGGCACATTCACATGATGGAAATATATGGGCTGAATAATGAGGTCTATGCTGATAATGATTTTTGACTCAATAAGAGGTAGAAGGAGTAATTATGTAGAAAATATATTAAATTATTACCAATATGATGATCCATATATTCCATCTTGGAAGATTTTGACATTTTCTTCCCTTCACCTTTCTCAATACAGATGATGGCTCCAGGGGTGACCAATCTCACGGCTGTGACAGAATTTATCCTCCTGGGATTTCCCACCCATGGGGCCATGGCCTTCTTACACCCGCTGCTCTTCTCTTTGATTTACATGTACGCCCTTCTGGGGAACGGGCTCATCATCCTCATCACGACCCTGGACCAGCACCTCCACACCCCCATGTACTTCTTCCTGAGGAATCTGTCCTTCTTGGACCTCTGCCTCATCTCAGCCACAGTCCCCAAGTCCATTGCCAACTCTCTGAGGCACAGCAGCTCCATCTCCTTCCCGGGCTGTGTCGTCCAGGTCTTTTTGATAGTATTTTCAGTAGGAGCAGAGCTGACCCTGCTCACGGTGATGAGCCTTGACCGCTATGCTGCCATCTGCCACCCTCTGCACTATGATGTCATCATGAGCAGAGTCAGGTGTGCGCAGCTGACAGCTGTGTCCTGGCTGGGTGGGGGTCTCATTGGTTTGATGAACACAGCTGGAACCTTCTCCTTGTCCTTCTGTGGGTCCAACGTGGTCCACCAGTTCTTCTGTGATGTCCCCCAACTACTGGCTATTTCTTGCTCAGGAAATTTATTGAGTGAACTTGTCCCCATTCTCATTAGTGTAGTGTTGAGTATCTGCTATTTCATTTTCATCGTCATTTCCTATGTCCACATCTTCTCTGCTGTCAGGAAGATCCCATCCACAGAAGGTAAGGCCAAAGTCTACTCCACCTGCCTGCCCCACCTGCTGGTTGTGATGTTATTTCTCTGTACTGGATTCTTTGCTTATCTGAAGCCGATTTCAGACACTCCATCCATGTCTGACCTGGTCATTTCTATGTTTTACACGATGTTGCCCCCCACCTTTAATCCCATCATATACAGTCTGAGGAATAAAGCCTTGAAGACGGCTGTGGGAAGAGTGATAAAAGGCCAATTCTCCAACAAATAAGGTATCATCAATTATTCACCGGCATTTATTCAGTTTCCCACTAACTCTACATTCATCATTCACAAAGTAAAGATGCTTCCCATTAGTATTTTTCTTTTGTCGCAAATTCATATTCTCATATTGTCAATGTGCTCCTGTTTCCTAAAATAATGCAATCCTTTGCCAAACCTCTCCCTGTGTGATGTTCATAAACTGAATCCAGCTCACGGTTAAAAACATGTATTTGGTGTAGAAAGAACGTTCTAGAACTCACACATCACCAACATTTATGAAACCAAGCCGTGGTAAAGGGGTTCTGTCCTTGGGAGCACAAGGTCATGGGACCCCAGTTCAGGCAATCCGTTCCCACCGCCTGTGTGTGTCTCCCCTGAGGGCCCCGTCCCTGTGGAGGGGAGGGGAGACAGCTGAGCGGGGTCCCCCACTCCTCACCATTCCTACAGGAGCGTCTTCCTTTAAGACACATTCATGTTTCTGTTCAAAAGGACAAGGAATCTCCTCCTGAATCTGCCAGAGATGGGCGGATGGAGGATATTTAAGGAATTTGAATCGACACTTGAAGCCTGCGGCTGACGGGAGTGTTCATTTCCATCACGTCCTGTTTGGATTCAGAGTCTCTCCACTGCCTGGCTGGAGTATTTGAAAATAAAATAGCTCTTAGGAAAACGCATGGCTGTGAAGAGCCACGTTTCTGGTTTTCACATTTATGACTTTGGAGCCGTGGGCTGCTCTCGGGGTCCTTGTCAGCTCCCCTCAGTTTCCAGGTCACCCCTCGATGTGCGGCGGCAGGTCTGCTTCCCCACTTTCTGCAGAAAACTCTCGCAGTCACTGTCCGTCTGCACTGGGAACTGTGTCATTCCTTGTTTCAACATCCTGTGAGGAGAGCACGGGGTGTCGTCGACTTCTGTCTCTCCACAGCATTCGCGCTGCACGGCCGAGGTTCTTGCAGCGTTTCCCCAACCCTGAGCTGGGTGATGTTCTGCCCCTCATGCCCTTTCTCCGGGGGCAGGTCACTGTGTCCCACACTCTCCCGGTGGCTCTACCGTCGTCAGTCCAGGAGAGCAGCGTCGAAATGAAAAGGCATGTTGGCCACGAGCTCGAGTCCACTCCAGGTTCCCGATCACATGGCCCGGGAGTCGCTCGCTCAAGATCCATCCCAGTGTGGCCTGAGCAGCCGCTCAATGCTCGCCAGGATCACCACCCGCAGGCAGGGACGGGGCCACGGTCTCCACTGCCTGGACGTCACGCCCTTCCCCAGTCGGATCCTACCCGTATGTTTTCTATTTGCCCTTTGAACCAATGCACTGAGTGTGCTGGGAAGGGGACTTTTCCCACAGGCTTCATCGTGCCGTCACCTTCATGCAGTGTTTGTTCTCCAGCAAAGAAATCAGCTCCTTTGCACTTTTCACTATTTTCATGTGGGGTCCCATTCAACCCCTGGGCCTGTGCACGTGTCCACTCAACATCCGCTGACCACCTGCCCCTGCAGTGCCCAGCCCCTCCTTCCAAGTCCCTCCCTACTCTCCTCCTCCTTTTGCACATGGTCCACGTTTCTTTTTGCTGTGTTTGTAATGCAGGTTTTCTGTATTTTCTATTCCCAGATGAGGGAGACTGTCCACGCTCCATCTCTCACTATCTGCTCATCTCCTTTAACAAAGTCACCTCAAGGTCCATCCATGTGGTCCCAAAATACACGATTTCACCTTTTTAATAGCTGTGTAGTTCCCACTGCATATGTACCCACATTATTTATTCCCTCTCTGTCCACAGCACTTGGGTTGGGGCCATGGCCAGCTACGGTGGACGGTGTTGCTCTGAACACAGGTGTATGTGCTCTGCGTCGTAGAGTCTGCACATCTGGGACAAATACCCGGATGAGGTTTGCTCCATCCTGTGGTTGTCCTGTTGCTATTGTCTGAAGACACCTCCACACCATTTTCCCAGCAGGGATGAGAGGCCATTTCTCTCCTTCCCTCACCTCTTGTTGTGTCCAGTCTCTTGATTGTCCCTTCTCACAGGTGACAACTCAGTGTGGCTTGGATCTGTGTTGCCCCTAGAATTACTTATGTAGAACATTTTTATGGATTAAAGTTTGGGTAAGATACAAAACCATAAGACACGAAAGAGAACACAGGGGAAGCCCTACTGGACACCTCCCAACACACACAGGTGGACTTGGGGACACAAGGCCTAGGACAGAGAAACGGCAAAAATAAAAAAGGGGCCTCACCACACTAGTGAGCTCCTGTGCCTCAGAAGATGCCATCGCAAAACAGACTCCTGCACTGGGAGAAAATTATGCACGTCACACACCTGGCCAGGGCGAGTGTCCAAAATACACAAAACCTCACAAATGCAACAACAGAAAGAGACACCCCAACCCAACATAGCCTCAGGCCCCCAGAGACACTTTCCTCACAGGTCAGGAGGCCACGGCCTCTCACGCTTTTTATTTGGGTAGAAAACGTCCCCGCTCTTGAGCCCGTCCACCTGCCTCACACCTGCAGCCACTTGAACATCCCTGACAGAGTCACAGGTGCCGCAGGAGGAAGTGGGTGTCGTCTCCCAGGTGGTCTCCATGTCCAGAGCATCTGGATTGCAGTGCCCAGAGGCAGGATCCCCCAGGGCCGGGCATGTGTCCACCACGAGGCCGAGGGGTGAGACATGAGGGCATGCTGGTGAGCGGAAGGGGCGTGGCCTCTGTCCCCCGAAACAACCCCCACAGGGATCCCCGGACTGGGAGAAGCGCCAGGCACCCTCCCACCCGCTGCCTTGGCTGTTCCCGCCGGGCAGCGCGTGTCTCTCACCCTGGCCTCGGCCAGCCCTGGGCTCCGAGCGGACACCCCCGAACCCAGCCCGCACTGGCCTCGGGGCCGCATCCACCTCGCAAAGCCCTTGGGCACAAATGTCCACATTTCAGCCGAAGGTGAACACGCATCGGGGAGGTTCCCGGACTTGTCCTGTGTATCCTCCCGTCCGCGGGATACTTGTCCTGTGTATCCAACCGGGGCCGCACAAGATGGGGTCACTCCCGTCAGGGGAGGAAACGGACTTTGGTCACTTCGTGTCCCTCCCGCCCGGCCTCCCAGTGCACGCAGCTACCCCGGGCCCGGCCAGCTCTGCCTGACCACTGTCCAGTTGGCTCCCACGCCAGAGAGCGATTCCCGCCGGCCGCTCGTCTGGAGGAGACTCCACGTACCCTGCATGCCTCAGCGCCCCTGAACCCCGTCTTCGCCTCAGCGGCTGCCCACAGGTCCCCCGGCTGCTGCCCCGGACTCGGGCACCCGAGGCGGAGCTGGAACTACCCCGGCTCCCGGCCGCCTGTACTCTTGGCACCCCAGGGGACCCCAGCCCGGCAGTGTGCACCCCCCACACCTGGGCAGGATTGTCCACGAGAAGGCGACGTCCACGTGAAGTCAGCAGCAAGTCAGACTCTCAGGCACTAGAGTCATTAAACGATTCACTTTGTAAATCATGACAACTAATGCTGATGGGGCCCAAGTCGTCATGTCCCACTGCCCCCTCAGCCTGGGTGAGACTCAGTGAGAGAAAACATATTCTCTTGTAATTTACAATGGTCAAAGATATTGACTTTTAATACATTGAGCATATAGAAGATTGTGACTTCTGGGAGATGTGACGATTTCTGCTGCATACCTGGGATTAGCATCAGCACACTCAGTGTGTTCTGGGCGCTGAATAAAATCACAGCAATTAATAGAATTGGATGGTGATGAAGACATTACAGAGGGAATTAAAAATTATACTTACTGTTCGATTCAGAATGATATGCCTTTTCTCCTAAACATGATGACAGATATGAGTCAAGTAGAAATTCAGTAACTTTTCAGTGACACTGTTGACGTCTTAAAGGCTCTGGCACCAATGATGGTGGCGCCGACATCTGTGTATTTGTGGATGTGAACTTGGGATTTTTCCCTAACTCCACCCCCAGGGATTGTCAGTGTAATTGGAAAATGAGTCACAGTATTTAATCAGGGCCTGGAGGAGATATGTCAAGTTATTTTATCCATTTTAAAGATGTATTTAAGGTCACTCGACAGATGTCAACATTTTTCACCACCATGAACCCTGATTTATTTTCTTTTCTTATTAAATTTCTGGAATTATTCCCACAAAAAGTGTTGCAATTATTTTACATTACTATATTCTCCAAAAAATTCTGCCCGCCCCAGGGCCTGCCCCTCCATCACCCCACAGAGGGGGGAGAGGATGACATTGGGGGGAGGAGAGTGGACAGAGCTGCCCCGTGTCCAGACGTCCCCACTCACGCACGGGCCTGGGGTGAGGAACAAACCTGCACCCGGGGGACCCGGGTCCCTGGGACCGGCAAAGAAAGCCACATGCACAGACCGTCAGGCTCAGCCCCGGAACGGCCTCCTCCCTGCACAGATGTGCACGAGTCTGAGGGGGACAGAGGGGCCGGGAGGGACCTGGGTGGACGAGCTCATCCTGCAGGAGAGACGTGTGGGAATGACCCAGGAGGAGACTCTGCAGGAAACTTGGTCTCGGAGTCCTCAGATGTGGGGGAGTCAGGTGCAGGGAGATGAGGAGCGAGGTGACGGACCAGGAGTCAGCAGAGAGGCCAGAGGGGCAGGAATCTGACTGAGGAGGCGTCAGGACACGCCGCACGGGGACTCTGAGCCCAGATCATTCAGTTCCAGGACAGTGTCGGGTCCTGGGGAGCAGGAAAACAGGGACCTGCACACCCCATCTCCTTAAACACCTGTCACTGTGGGGCTTCCCCAGACCAGGAGAGCAGGGACGGGCTCTCTAGGGTGGGGAGGGCCTGGGCATGGTCATATGTCCTCTAGGGCTGTGCCCTGGACAATCTCTGGGAGGTGTGCTGGGCGGAGACACTGGGGCCTGGGCAGGAGGGGGCGCCGCGTGCCTGGGAATGACTGGGCACTGGTGTTCTGTCAATTCAGTTCACTGAGAGACC